AAAGTTTTCAGTAGCTAATTACAAAAGTGAGTTAGTTTCTATTTTTGTTGCCCAGATATGATGAAAGCAGAATTACCTGCTGTGTCCTTGAGTAAAATCAAGGTAAAAAGAAAGACATTGTCTTTGAAGTGGTTATTAACAAAGTATAGCACTGGTTGTCAACATTTTTGAAGTACATAGATATCAAATGGAAATATTGACCCAAAATTTCAAAGAGGTAGTGGAGTTATGATATTATTGGAATAAATTTGACTTACGAAAACTGATAACCTCATGTTTATTTTTTATTTATAATTGCAATGTGTAGAATACAAAATTGGAAGACATTTTATGGCTACTGTATTTGGTTGGTTGACACAAATACAACTCAAGCACAAGCAGCTAACTACAATCATCAGAAAATATTTAAAGTCATTATTTTATCAATAACTGCTAAACTGAGACTTTTTTTACAACACATCTGTGCTATCTTCTGCAGCTTGCTTCTCTGATATTTCTATCTTTTTGTTATACAGTCTTTCTGGTACTCATCAGCAGTTGGGTCTCCTTTTAGTATGTCAAGCTCTGAAATGTTTTAGATCTTCACCAAAATTCTAATTGTGTAATGAAAATTGGGAAATAAGTAGACACAGATGTTCCCTCGATTTCACAGAGTGCTGGAATTTCCACATGGTGTCACACAGATAATACCATACAGTTAAGTGCATAAACATCATTAACAATGACTGCTGGAGTAATTCTCCTTTGTAGCCACACTACAGTTCACTTTAATAATAGAGTAATTAGAGTTAGAAATTTCATCGTAATTGAAAATGCTAATATGTACTTTTAGCAACCCCAGGTGCTTAAAAACAAAAGAATAACAATAAAAAAATCAGATCCTTGATAATCTGAAAATACGACTGAAAGTCCTGACTTTCTGAAATACTTGTGAAAATTTTATTTTAAAGTCTTGTTGAGAGCAAATGGTGATGGGGGAGGAAGGAGGTAAAAATATGTAGGAATTTTATTGTATAGACTTTTGGAAACATGAACACTGGAAACTGAGTCACCTAAAAACTGGAGACACGTTTCCCAGTGGCCAGGGAAGGACCAGCCAGGCAACGTAAAGTCTTTTCCATCATCCAGGCCGGCACTTCATCCTCTTCCTTCTCATGTAAAAAGTGAATAAATTGAAGTTGGCATAAAAGCTGAACTTGCACTTGAAGATATTTTCTGTGGACAGTGAGCCAATGGAGCTAATTCATTTTTACAGAGACCATAGGCCCAGACATTTCTGAACAACAAAATGTCTTTGATTGTCAAACTGGGAAACTTTACAGCAACAATGAAATAGAGCAAGGAATTCTTGAACCCTGAAAATCCCATAAAAGGGAGAGAATGCCGGAAAATAATGACACCTGGAAAACACACTATCACATCTAACTGTCCAAGTTTCAGGTCAGAGTAGCATGAAGAACAACAAAAAAGTTTTTTCATCCCTAGTGGAATTTTCGTTGTTTCACCTTCTATTTTCATTGCCCTTTATGCAATGATGGCAAGTGAATGAATGAAACTGCTTTCACTGAAAAAAACCTTAGCTCATCTGTATGAAATGTATCTGGAAATACAGAACAATCTCTTGTTTTTCACCACAAAACAGAAGCTGATATAGTAGAAAATATATTTGTATTCCAGAAAATCTACAAGTGCTCATTAGAGGGTTCTCAGAAAACACAGAAATCTTTACTTATCAGTATTATTGTTTCCTTTTACAGCTCTGTCTTTCTGATGGTACCTCTTGCTTGTCTCTAAAACATAGAGTATAAAATGTTTGGCTTTCTATGACTGACTCTTTTAGGCATTGTACAATGCTGCATGATAGCAGTAGCATTTATAGTTATCAGAATGACAGATGATTAGAGATTATAAATCTAAGGGTTATTGAGAAATTGGAAGGTTTATTTTGAGAGGGCAGAAACTAGATTTCTTAGTTTTAATAATGCACAGTAATGAATAGAAATATGTCTGAAGCATTTATATAACTTCTATGATTATATAAAATTGGAGCCTTATTCAGCAATTGCTTGTGGATGAGCATACCGCTCCTTGTTGTAGTTTTAAGCTCATGTTGTTTTATTCTTACTTTAATTTTACTTGTCTTTTGATTTAAACAAGGTAAAGACAAAACTGGATTCTAAAGGGACCTATCTGTCAAGCTGTCATAGTTCATATGAGGTGCCATATATATGACATATTAATACAATTACCCATTGTAATTATCTATTATTTTCAGTTTTAGAAGCAGAAGCTGTGTGGGGATGAAAGAAGCCTCTAGAGATTTAAATTAAGTAATCCATTACTATAAAATGAAGCAGTACCACCACCAAAAGCCACAAAATACTTCACCATCCTGTAAGAAATCTTTAGTTTAGACAGTTTATGGGAAGTGAAGGGGAAAGCAACTGAAGTGGAACAGAATTTGGAATTTCTGGAATTATTGTCTGGAAGAATTACAGAAATAATGATTATTCTATTTTCTCTGCATATTTTTAGCTCCTCAACCATATTTTTAGAAATTTTCAGAAGCCACAACTATTGTCCTGCACACTCTTTTTCCACCTTTTTTCACCCCTTCATATATTAGAGTTATTTTCTAGAAAGGCGTAGAATTAATTTAGTCTACTTGATCAGGATTTAATCCTTGCTTTTTAAGAGGTGATAAGCATTAACAGGTAATAAGGTTTTTACATTCATGTGAATCACCGATTCCATGTATTATGAAATATATGTCTTCAAGAGAGAAAAATGCTAGCAGTCACTGAATTACTGCCTGTGTACTGATCAAGTGAGCATAAGCACGCTGCTAAAAAAAGTGGTCACCTAAAATGTAACCTTGCCAGTCTTAAGGTAAATATGTTTAAAAATCACTTCAGCAAGATGTTACTGCAGAAACAAAGGGAAAAAATAAAAGACTGAGGGAAACAGGTTCTCCATTCCTGAACATGTTCCAGTACTGGAATATTTTGTTAATATTGTTATAATTTATTGTTAATAATATATACATGGGTGTGCATAATAACACAGTTTCAAAGTTCCAAAAAAAATTAATGAAAAATATTTCAAAGTGTTTTGTACCTAAATTTTTGGTTTCGTTTACTATTAAATTGAGTTTTAGAAGAGATCTTTCATTTGATGTCCTGTTGTCCATATTTTTCTCCTGTGGGCATTTTCCTTGGCCCAAGTACAATTTCCCTTATACATTTCCAGTCATATGATGCTTGTGACACACTGCTTTGTTTGGTTATAGGTGAGTCTCAGCTTTGGTGAGGTAAGTCTCCAGGAAGTTCTGCCCTCGGGGAACATTACAGCCCCAAAGCCTTGCAAGGCACTGGGCCAAGACAAAATGCACAGTTCAACATTGACTGATTAAAAGCAAATATTTCAGATCCAACCACTACTTTCCCCCTCTCGAAAAAAAATCTTCCCACCAAATGGAAACAATCTGTCTTCGTTTTCCTAATAGAAAGTACAAGTTCAGCAAAATTAAATTTCCCAAAATCTTTGTCTGTGTACAAACTTCATTTCCCATGAGAGGATAAAATAAATCTAATGGAAAATCCTCAGTATAATGTGGAACAAGGAAACAAGGTAATATTTTGTTAGTGTTTTATAAAGTTTTTTACGATGAACTCTAGAAAACTATGGTAAAAATAAAGATTACAAAATAATAGTTTATGAAAGATTAGACAAGAATAAAAAAGATAAAAACCTCACCCTGAAAGAATCCAGAAGGCATAAAAATGTGATTCTACAGTTCAAATGAGAACAGTGCATCCTAGATAACATCCCTCTAAGCCTCTTCAGTCAGCAATGGCTACAGAGATATACTGGCAGAAGTACCTGGCATTACTCAGCACAGTTATATATTCATACTGAGTCATTAGTCAATAAAGTCTAGAATAGGACATCTTCCTAGAACTCTGCATAAGAGTATGACTTTCAAGGGGCAAATTAAATAAATTTGGGAATCAATATACATATTTATACAAAAAAGGCAAAATGAATAGCTACATTCGAGAATGAATTAGCAGCATAACATATATATATATTTATATATACAGGTTGTATTTTGATCTTAATACAAGATTTTAAACAACAGGTGAACCTTCTGATATTTCAGTGGGAATGCAAAATACATATAACATGCTACATGTCATTGCTGCTCCCTTGGTAGAAAATAATAAGCAGCAAACTTCTTTTTATCCAATACCTCTTATTTTGGATTAGAAAAGATGATGTATCTAAGGACAACCATACCTGTTCAGATCAGAAGTTCACTTGACCCAGTACGCTATTGCACACAGTAACCAAAAGTTGATCATATCTTTTCAGAGGGAGTTTGAGAACAAAGAAAGCATATAGTGATGCTCCAGCTGCAAAAATCCCTCTGTGAGCCAGAGGTGACGCTTCAGTATTTTCTCTGCCTTGACTGGGTTCACTTCCAGGAACTTGGTTTTCACAGACCCACAGAATCACAGAACGGGTAAGGCTGGAAGGGACCACAGTGGGTCATCTGGTCCAACCTCCCTGCCCAAGCAGGGTCATCTTAGAGCACGTGGCACAGGATTGCATCCAGATAGTTCTTGAATATCCTTCACTTGACTAATACAAGTTTTACTATCCTAAACACTCTGAAACACAAAGTTCCCCAGCTTAGCCCCCTTGTGTAAAGAACTGGTTTTTTTAACACCTGCCAGTTGCTGTTTCATTTGATGGCCTCTTCTATGGGAAAGGACAATGAAGAGCCACTCTCTATTCATCCTGATTCCCAGTGAAAATCTTTAGGATGTCATATCAACTCGCAAGCAATACATACCAGCAAAATAACAGCATAAAACTCATTTAACCTGCATAGATCAAGTGGCATCACATTGGAGTCAGCAAGGCCCAGACAAAAGCCCGGTCTTGTACAATTATCAATACCAGTTAATACAAAAATCAGATTGTTTCTCCAATACCTGTCGCTGGTTTTCTGTCTCTAGTCTCAGTCTGGCCTCTACGCATCTTCTGGTCTCCAGGAAGGCTTGACGTTGTGCTCTGTCTGACAAGTAGCTAATGAAGATTCCTGCAGTGTTCATACACATAAATAACACTGCCTGAGCTGCTATCTGCAATGAACAACAAATAAGATTTGATTAGACAGGAGAAGCAAAAATATCTGTTTAAAAAAAAAGAAAGAGACAATGACTGCTCTGTAGGCTGCAAAAATAGCAGTTAGGAAAGTTTACATAAAAGAATCTCTTAGATCTTAAGTAGAGGCATCAAACTTGCAAAATTATATCTGCCTTGAGGATGAGATATGCAGCATTTGGGGGATTAAACTCTAGTTGAACCACAAATGATATTTCCAAAAACTGACTCACAGAGCTCTAGCCAGGACTGATTACAAACATAATTAACAATTTGTTTTTGCACTGCCTGTCCTGCAAGAGCAACTTTGTGATTTGTTCCATGGCTTAGTTTGGGAAGCAAGCCATATTAAGGAAAACAAAGAATGTCAGTTAACTAAGAATTAGTATCAGTGATACTAGCTATTGTGTTATTATTGACCAAATTATGTAAATTCATTTTCAGCTGATGCCAAAGCACGAATTTCCACAATGTGAATTCTGAACCATTCAACAGGGAAAGCTGAAAGGATAACCAAATTCTTGCCTAGCCAGTGCCTGTGTACACAGACTTTTTCTTTGCTGAAGTCTACATAAGAACTGAACTCATTTTTCTCGTAGAAAATATTTCCTTGTGCGTCACAGCTTCTTCCTTTTCCATGTGAACTCAAAGGAGCCAAATGGGAGTGGATCCTTGGACAGCACAAATTTCAGTGGCTTATTTGTCTTTCACAGATATCTCTCTGTGCTCTGCATGTTTGTGAGGCAGGGCACATCAACATCATTGAAGTGAGGATTGTTTGGGAAAGTGAGTAAGAAACTGGCAATATTTGACTGCACTAGAGACAGGACAGACATGGAATCTCATCACTTTATCCAATATCTCACCCTTGTTATTGGTTGAGATTTCAAAGGCACTCAGGCTCTGATAGCTTTGGTTGATACCTACAGGATCATAACAACACCAGAACTACCACACCAAGGCAGATCAGGTGTTCATCATTCAGAATACTGCCTCTGGTAAACACAGAGTGCTCAGGTAAACACAGAGTGAAAACACAGAGTGCTCAGATAAGAGCACAAGGATAAAACAGCAGATAATATGTACAAGAGTACAGCAAGCATTAAGCAATGTCTTGTTAAAACAGTCTTGAACACTCCAGCAATCTGTGATTGCTGGACATTTTGGGCTAGACATCACATTTTCTTAACATTATCTAATAATCAGTCTTCCTAAAATCCAAGTGTTGTTTTTCCTAATAGAAGACTCTCTAATCTCATTGTGATGCTTTGACTCAGATCTGCAATCCCACAGTCACGTGGGTTTGAAAGTGAGGTCTGATATGAAACCAAATGCATCTAGAAGAAACTTAAACTTTATATATTGCCATATTTCTGAAACTGGAGTATTGTTCTACTATAGTACAGGGAATTAATTTGCAGTTGATAAGCTATGATCAAATAATAATGCATATCCTGACTTCAGATGAAGTTTTGTTTAACTTTATCCAGTAATAGATGTCTAGGCTAGGCTTGTGAGAAGTAGGGAATGATTAGCATGATCCTTACACCTTCCTGGCCTCCAGGATCCTGCAGTTTACAGCTAGATGTGGTATACCCAGTGTTGCACAACTTTTCTGATGCCTTTCTCAAGTTAGTTGTACTTTTGGTCCCTATGACACTCAAGAACAAAGATTTTTACAATTTATTTAGGCACTTTATGATAAAAATGTTTCCTTTTTTTTTTTGCTTTAATTCACAGTTTTATAATTTCTTTGAGTGCTGCATTATGCTTATAAACAGTGACTAATCATTTCCAATTCATTTGCCTCTCACCATTCTTGATTTTACTGTCTTAAAATATAACCCCTTACTTTTACTATTTGAAAGGGAGGAATTTGAGACTCTTTAGTCACTCTGTGTTTATCACTATTCCACCTCTGTGCTTACTGCTTTTCCCCTGATATCTACCTTACCCTGTTTTACTGGAGACAGGTTGCCCTGGACTGGCCAGCTTCCCCCAGGCATTCTCTGCATTTGCTCCAAAATAAATCAGAGAATGAATTAATTCAGCTATGACATAACTCCTTTCTGGTGCAGGCTACTGGGAGGCGTATGATGAGCTGACATGAGATTAGTACTAGTTCAGAATTGCATTGTTCAGCAGGACAACTGAAATCAGCTGTAGGTGGCTGGAGGAGTCAGCCTTTTATGCCTCTTTGACTGACTTTTAACTTCGACATGAACTGATAATTGGTGTTCACACACACTAGGAAAGCTGGATTAGAGGATGAAAAAAAAAAGAAAATCCCTTCAGAATATTTGAAATGTGCATTTCCACAGCGAAAGTGTCAAGGTGCTCTCCTTTCCTCACAAATTCAGTTGCAATTTTGTTGTGAGGCCATTTCAGTCACCCATCTCTGCTAACACTCAGGACTACTGCCGCTCACTTCAGCAGATCTCCTTAGAGCAAATGCATTAGAATTTGGCCTTCAATTAGATTTCATGAGCACATAATTTGATTTGGACAAAGGGAATAATGGAAAACATGTTACAGGTAAAACAACAGCTTATGCAGAGGCAGAATCTGCTTTTCTTACACCTACTAGTCCGATTGAAAGCAATCCAAAGAGTAAAGCACTATAAGTTGCAAGGCATACTAATTTTTAATTAGTAGCTCATTTTAATAAAAGAATAAAAAAGACATATGAGACTTGAATCCTTCATTGCCACTCCTTTTTCCTAGGGCTTACTAGGGCCAATTCCAGAATTCTTAGATTATTTTCTACAACCTACAAGCCAGGGCAGACTGATTTTAGAGGATGTACATATCTTTTTGACTCACCTGAAAATAATCAATGCTCACATAGTAGGGTAGTTAGGGTACAACGCAAAAAGAAGAAAATATTTTCACAACGTTTGTAAGTCTATTTGTACCTTGCACAGCACTCCCGTAAGCAATAGTAGCAGACACATCAAGTGATCCTAAAAAACCATGAATGATACATTTTGATGTTAAATAGGGCTCTGAGGAGGTCTGCTTCTTGAATATTTATTAAATGCTAAGAAGACACCCATCACCGACTGCCTTGGAATATCTGTGTAACACAATCACCACTATTTCTGCTGAACCTGCAGTTGCACATAATCACATAATAGGATGAACAGAGCTAAAGGAAGTAACTTGACAAGATCATTGAGATACTTAGAATCATAGAATCACAAAATTATCAAGTTTGGAAGAGCCCTTCAAGAATCTCTGCCCCATAATCACCCCTAAAACATCCCCAAGTGCCACATCCAGATGCCTCTTGGCCACTTCCAGAGACTCCACCACTGCCTTGAACAACTTATTCCAATGCCTAACTGCTCTCTCAGGGAAATTTTTTTTCCTGATATCTAATCTAAACCTTCCCTGGTGCAAGTTAAGGCCATGTCCTCTTGTCCTTTCACTTGAGACATGGCAGAAGAGACTGACCCCCACCTCTCTACAACCTCCTTTCAGGTAGTTGTGGAAAGCAATGAGGTCCCTCCTGAGTCTTCTCTTCTCCAGACTAAACAACCCTAATTCCCACAGCTGCTCCTCATAGGACAAGTTTTCTAGACCTTTTACCAGCTCTGTTGCCCTCCTTTGGAAATGCTCCAGCACCTCAACATCCTTTATGAAGTGAGGGGCCCAAGAAGAAGCAAACATTGAAATTCTTACTCCAAAACTCTGCTTTTAATTTCTCATAGGAGGAGAATAAGAATTTAGTTCACTTATTAAATAAATTTATATTTATAAAGTGTCCTCCATACAGGTACCCCAGAGCCCTTTGCAAAATCAGTATGGAAACTAGCTATGTTTCCATGTTATGGAAATATTATGAAAGGAGAGGATGCGAATCAGACAAATAAGCTCAGTTTAAATTTGACAGCACATGTTGATTCAAATAATGTCATGTGTATCTGCTACTCATTGTATTAGAAGGGCTTTGCCAAGACAACTGAAACCAAGTTAACATTTTGAGTTGATTTGGGAACCACCAGATTTCAAAAGAAAAAATTAAAAGTTACTGGACACAGCTGGTCAGGAAGAAGTTATAATCAAAGTAGATACAGTATAGTAATGCAAGAGAACAGGAAAAGGAAAATTCATTGAAAATATGGTAAGGTAGCTCCCAAGCCTGTGAAGTGGTAGGTAATCAGTCACAGACAGCTTTTAAAGACAAAATTGGATGTAGTTCAGGAAACAAGAAGTTCAGAAGAGCACAGGTGAGTTACCGGACTAGACATAACAGCAATTTGTGGGCATTTCTGCTATTCAGAGCACCTAATTGAGTTGGCTTTCATTTGGAATTTACACAGAATCCTGTGAGTTTATGAATGACTGGGGACAAGTTAAAGAAGTGTTTGCAAATGCCAGAATTTTCAAAACTTCGAAATTCATAACTGAACTCTGTTTTAGTTTTGCCATGAGTTTTTGTTTTGAAATGTGCAATTGTCCATCAGGAAATATAGAATCATAAGGCCAGCCTCTAATAGACATTTATGGAGTGTGTAGATGTTGACTGAGTTCAGCACTTCCAAAGAGCACATAACCTAAGGAAAAGTGAATATTATGAACATTCAACAAACCCAATGGATTGGAAATATGTTGATTGATAGCTGGCCCTAAAAGACAGCAATTGCCACAGGCAGTCTTCATCATGAAGTTGAGCCAACAGCAGCATACATGCACATGGAAAGCACAGTGGAGGCAGCGGAGAAAAGGCTGATAAAGTTTAGAAACAATTCTGAAATCCAGAAGGACACTGAACTTGTGTGTTACTACCTCAAGTGCAGAAAGACACCTTAGTGAGCTCTGCAGAAATAAACTTATTATTAACCTCTTCAGCAGGTAATTTTGTTCTGCTGCACAGAAACAGAGTAGTGCTGGGGCTGATGTCACCAAAACACATGTGAGAAGCAAAGAAATGGTTTTCAATGTATTGTCTAGTTGGACAGTCTTTGGGTCTATC